ATATTATTACATGTTTAAATATTTAAATATATTGTGATAAAGACATTCATATAGAATTTTTTAACCAAATAAAATAAAATCGTTCCGCAAAGTGTTCGCATAATAATTATTTTTTTATATCAGATATCTATCGGAGTACCGCTATTTTCAGTTAGTATTATTTTTATTTGCTTTAACCTAGAATGTCGCAGCATTCAGACTATAGTGATGATGAGTTTTGTGCAGACAAGTTGTCCAATTATTCTTGTGATAGCGATCTTGAAAATGCGAGTACAAGTGATGAAGATTCTAGTGATGATGAAGTAATGGTGCGTCCCAGGACATTGAGGCGACGAAGAATTTCGAGCTCCAGCTCTGACTCAGAGTCAGATATAGAAGGCGGGAGAGAAGAATGGTCGCATGTTGATAATCCACCGGTCTTAGAAGATTTTTTAGGGCATCAAGGATTAAACACAGATGCTGTTATAAATAATATAGAAGATGCCGTGAAATTATTTATCGGAGATGATTTTTTTGAATTTCTTGTAGAGGAGTCAAACAGATATTATAATCAAAATAGGAATAATTTCAAACTTTCAAAAAAAAGCCTAAAGTGGAAAGATATAACCCCTCAAGAGATGAAGAAGTTTTTAGGGTTAATTGTTCTCATGGGACAGGTGCGCAAAGATAGAAGAGATGACTATTGGACCACGGAGCCATGGACGGAGACGCCATATTTTGGTAAAACGATGACGAGAGACAGGTTCCGACAGATATGGAAAGCTTGGCACTTCAATAATAATGCGGATATCGTAAATGAATCAGATAGACTTTGCAAAGTGAGACCAGTACTAGATTATTTTGTGCCTAAATTTATAAATATTTACAAACCTCATCAGCAATTATCACTAGATGAAGGGATCGTACCTTGGAGGGGAAGATTATTCTTTAGGGTATATAATGCTGGCAAGATCGTTAAATATGGAATATTGGTTCGTTTGTTGTGCGAAAGTGATACAGGATATATCTGTAACATGGAAATTTATTGCGGCGAAGGAAAGCGATTATTGGAAACGATACAAACAGTAGTGTCTCCATACACTGATTCGTGGTACCATATATATATGGACAATTATTATAATAGCGTCGCAAATTGTGAAGCACTTATGAAAAACAAATTCAGAATATGTGGAACAATCCGGAAAAATCGAGGTATACCTAAAGATTTTCAAACAATTTCTTTGAAAAAAGGTGAAACAAAATTTATAAGGAAAAATGATATATTGTTACAAGTGTGGCAATCAAAAAAGCCTGTATACCTGATTTCTTCGATTCATTCTGCGGAGATGGAAGAAAGTCAGAATATTGACAGAACATCAAAAAAGAAAATTGTCAAACCGAATGCACTCATTGACTACAATAAACATATGAAAGGTGTTGACCAGGCTGACCAATACCTTTCATATTATTCGATATTGCGGAGGACGGTCAAATGGACAAAAAGGTTGGCAATGTATATGATAAATTGCGCATTATTTAATTCTTATGCAGTTTACAAATCAGTGAGGCAAAGAAAAATGGGTTTTAAAATGTTTTTGAAACAAACAGCTATCCACTGGTTGACGGATGATATTCCAGAGGACATGGACATTGTTCCAGACCTTCAACCAGTACCGTCTACTTCTGGAATGCGGGCTAAACCACCTACATCTGATCCACCATGCAGGCTATCGATGGACATGAGAAAGCATACGTTACAGGCAATTGTCGGAAGTGGAAAAAAGAAAAACATTTTGAGAAGGTGTCGCGTATGTTCCGTTCATAAATTGCGCAGTGAGACACGCTACATGTGCAAATTTTGCAATATACCTCTACATAAAGGGGCGTGTTTTGAAAAATATCATACGCTAAAAAACTATTAATTTCTATTTGTTTTGATTTATTATGAAAATTTTATTTTAAACTTTAAAAATATGTGTATATTTTTAGGTAATAAGTATTTTTTGGGTTTTTCGTATTTAGTTTATATATATCGAATTATTTATGTACTGAATAGATAAAAAAATGTCTGTGATTGAATAAATTTTCATTTTTTACACAAGAAACCGAAAATTTCATTTCAATCGAACCCATACTTCAAAAGATATAGGCATTTTAAACTAACTCTGATTTTGCGCGGGAAACCTAAATAATTGCCCGCGCCATCTTATATTTTGGCGGGAAATTCACCCGACACCGTAGTGTGAAGACCCGGGCAGGTGCGGCCCAGCCCAAGGGCGAGCCAAGGGGAGGGGCCTGGTCCAGCTCGCTGCCGCCGCGATGGCCCAGAAGCAGACGACCAGCTCGCAGAAGGCCCTGATGCTGGAGCTGAAGTCCCTGCAGGAGGAGCCGGTGGAGGGCTTCCGGATTGCCCTGGTGGATGAGTCCGACCTCTACAACTGGGAGGTTGCCATCTTCGGACCCCGCAACACCCTCTACGAAGGCGGCTACTTCAAGGCGCATATTAAATTTCCTATTGACTACCCATATTCACCACCTACCTTCAGATTCTTGACCAAAATGTGGCACCCCAACATTTATGGGAATGGACACGTATGCATTTCAATTCTTCATCCACCCGTAGATGACCCACAGAGTGGTGAACTGCCCTCCGAAAGGTGGAATCCTACTCAGAATGTCAGGACTATCCTGTTAAGTGTCATCTCATTGCTTAATGAGCCCAACCCCTTCTCCCCAGCCAATGTGCATGCTTCAGTTATGTTCAGGAAATGGAGGGACAGTCAAGGAAAAGACAAAGAATATGCTGAAATCATTAGAAAACAGGTTTCAGCCACTAAAGCCGAAGCAGAAAAGGATGGAGTGAAAGTCCCCACGACCCTGGCGGAATATTGCATCAAAACTAAAGTGCCTTCCAATGACAACAGCTCAGATTTGCTTTATGACGACTTGTACAACCTTGACATCGATGATGAAGATGAGGAGGAGGAAGATGCCGACTGTTATGATGATGATTATGATGATGATGATGATGATGATTCTGGGAATGAGGAGTCGTGACCTGCTCCTTCGAAGCCCCTGGACTGCCCTGCCATCTCAGGCCAAAGGGAGGGGAGCACGTGGGGACCTAGCAGTGGCCCCTCAGCAAAAACCTATCACAGGGGGTGGGGAGAGAAAACAAACATGGCTCCTGCTGACTCCCCTTGTGGATCTCAGTTGGCTCCTTTTTCATGGACCTCTTAATGGAGAGAAGGTAATTGTGAACGAAAGGGGCCACATGCTGACCAGACAAGCTCAGGGGAGGCCTGCATGGCAGTCTTACAAACTCAGAGACCTAAAGTCACCACAAGGATGGTCTGAAATTAAACTTTAACTAAAAGCAGTTATGGTGGGCAGTTACATCCTAGGCCAGTATCTTCACTGACAAGGTCAACCTTTACAGTAACTGAGCCTATCTGCCTTTTTGCATCTATGATAACAGACCCTTGAAATGTCTGGGTAACGTGTAACTTCCCTTTTTCTGGAGTCCCTGTGGCACAACCAAATGTGCTGGGCGCCAGGACAGATACCACAAATTCCTTCACTGTTATGTTAATTGATCCTGCACCCACCTAAGTACGTGTCCATCATTTTACTTTTATCCAGTCCCAGGGATTTCCCTGCTTTGCTTTATCCCTCCTCCTTAATCTAACACCAATGAATTTCATGTAACCCACCTATGTCCCTCCTTGGATTGCAAATGTATAAATACAAATGTAACCCCGCCATTCTCCGGAGCATTATCTCAATTCGTTGAGGTTCTGCTTTCCGGCATATGTCGACAGTTTGGCTCAAATAAACTCACAAAAATTCTTAAAAAAATAAAACACAGAACTTGGCTGGAGAACCTAGCTGTGATGATCAACTGAACGCTGCCTCCGTGTCATTCCTTCTTCACCGACTCCATCCACACCTTTGGGAACCCCTGGACCTGCTGGGGCTGGACCCCAACACTAATACGTGTTAATACAAGCACAACTGTGTGTCTCCTTCCTTTGCCAAATGTGGAATTCTGCCTACCCAGTAACCCTGAGTATCTGTTCATGATAACGCTATAGATGAGTGGATGGATGGGTCGGTGGATGGGTGGGTAGGTGGATGGATGGATGGGTGGGTGGGTGGGTGGGTGGATGGATGGGTGGGTGGATAGGTAGGTAGGAGGATGGATAGATGGATGGGTCAGTGGATGGGTAGGTAGGTGGATGGATGGATGGATGGGTGGGTGGGTGGATGGGCAGATGGATGCTACATGCTCCATGGGTGAATGAACTCAGAGGGGGCAGCTATAATCTAGTGATCGGGGTGGAGAGGCAGCTTAGGGTGTGATTAAGAGCAAGGCCTGAGGAGCCCCCCTGCCTGTGTCTAAATCCCAGCGCCCAACACCCTCCCCCCATGGCCCTAGGGACTCCCTCCCTGCTCAGACTTCTGACATGTAAAACGTGAGTGGGAACAGGCTGTGGTGAGGATGCAATGAGCTAATCCATGGCAGGCACTGGGAACAGGTCTGCCGTATGTTCACGACGACACGAGTCATTGTGACCGAGAGGCAGAGCCGGGCCGGGAGATCCGTGAGCGCCCATTCAGGGGACGGCCCACACGGACTCTGGACAGAGGGCTGGGGAGCCGGCCTGGAGCCAAGAGTTTTCATAGTTTCACAATCACTCCTCACCTTTGACCTCGGCACTCCAGGCTGCCCGGAAGCCTGCGGAGCGCTGTGCTCCCTGGTGGGCAGTGAATGGGTCCTTAGGACATTCTCCAGCTGCCTCCCCGGGAGGACTGCTCCTCACACATGCAAGGCTCTCAGCGCGCACAGCTCCCCGGTCCCTCCCTCTTCCCTCGAGGCCGCCCACGAGCCCTGTCTCTGCTGGAAAGCGTAGGAGGACCCTGTCCAACCTGAGACAGAGGATGGGCAATGCCAACGTGGAGATTCCCGACGGGAAGATCTGTGTTTCTCATGCCCAGGTGTCTTCGCCCTCCGCCCCTGTCAGACTGCTTACTGCAAGGCCCCTTCCTCTGCATCTGTGTCCTGGCTGTGCTCCAGCTCTTCCTCACTGTGTGTCAGCAGCCCCTCTTCATCGCCGTCATCTCGAACCTGTGCTTCTCCCTGGGGTGTGCCTGCCTCAGAAGTTGTGTCCTCTTGGGGGGCCAGTGGCCGGCTGCTGTCACCACTATTGCTGCTGCCGCTGTCGCCTTTCTTCTTGCCATCTGGGTTGGCCTTCTGCTCCTCAGCAATCTGTTCCAAGCGGCCCAGCAGGGCGTCAATGTTGGACTTGATCTGTGTCAGCTCTGTCTTGATGGCCTGCAGCTCACTGCTCTTTAACTTAATTTTGACTGAGCTGGTGGTGATGGCTGTGGAGCGGGCAAACAGCTTGACTGGAGTGGTGGTTTTGACACGTCGGACCAAAGGGACTGTGACCCGGGGTCACTTCACAGGGACAGCCCTGGGCACAGGCACCGGTGAAAGGTGGCCCCGATAGTCAAAGAGCCTGTGGTAGAAGTCGTCCCGGTAGTAATCATAGTCAAAGCTGTGGCCACTGTAAATGGCAGATGCTGCTCTCTTTAACCCCTTGGGTGTGTTGGGCTTGGGCTCACCAGCCATGTTGATGTCCAGGGTCTGCCCTGCCAGCACCTGCCCATTCTCTCCAAGCACAGCTGCTCGGGCATGGCGCTCGCTGGCATATTGGACAAAGGCATAGCCCTTGTGCACAGAACAGCCGGCCACACGGCCATCCTTGGAGAAGGTGGTCTCCACATCTGACTTCTTCACCACAGCTGTGCTGAGGTTTCCGATGAAGACCCGAGAGTTGATGGACTTGGGGTCATTCTTGTTGGTTACGTTGCTTGTCTGGATCTTCATGGACATGGTGGGCACCGTGCCGAGGTCTAGCGGCAGCCGCGCGGTGTGGAAGAAGGCCTCACCCCCACGCTCGCCAGGCCTCACCCCCACGCTCGCCAGGCTCCCCAGGCTGGGCTTGGTTAAATACTGGCTGGGTGATGGTGATTGAGTAATTACACTGAGGAGCCTCTGGGAGCCCCAGGTGCCCGCCCTCGGGGTGTTCGCAGAACCAGCTGGGCCAGATGCTCTCCACCTGCCCAGGGATGAAGCTGGAAGCCTGGGCTCCTCGCAGGCCCCCCATGGTCAGGCGGCCCCCTGCCTCCAGGCTGCTGTAGTTGTCATGACAGGGGCACAGCACCCGCCCTGCCACACCTTCGGTGGCTCAGGGGGCTTTGCCGGTGCCAGCGTGAGCGAGTCAGGCTGAGCCAGGGCGATCCTAGGGGCACCGTCTCAGCACCCGGGCCCCTCCCCGCCCAGGCCGGCGTCCCTCTCCTCTGAACGGGGTTCCGTGGGCGGCCTGCCTGGCCGTGAAGACCCTGGAGCCTTCGTGTGGCCCCAACCTCGGCCCCTGTGCTCACCACCACCTTTGTGGCAGCCACAGGCCCCTGGTCTCCTCAGGGGTGACCTCGCGTTGCCTCACCTGAGCTCAATCCCTGATGTACGTGATGCTGTTGCCCCATTTTGCTTCCGTTAAAAATGTCTGTGTATTTCCAACCCTCAGCCACCGGCTTCCACCAGCGGAGGCAGCCTGAGCCCTGGGCAAAGTTGAGCATCGATCTGTGAACCAAGAGGTCCCGGGTTTGATTCCCAGTCACAGCACATGCCTGCGTTGTGGGCTCGATCCCCAGTAGGGGGCGTGCAGGAGGCAGCCAATCAATGAGTCTCTCTCATCATTGCTGTTTCTATCTCTCCCTCTCCCTTCCGCTCTGAAATCAATAAAATATATACATATAAAAAACTATCATCCGGCTCATCAAAAAGTTAAAGCCTCGGTAATAGCTTGAGATTCAGGTCAGTGTTTCGCTCATCTCTGTCTCCCTCCCCCTTCTCCATGGCACCCTCCCCCTCCTCCGTGGCAACCTTTGAAGCCCAGCTCCGATGCCAGCTCCTCCCGACGCCCCCCAGCTGTCATCACTGTCTCCCTGCGTCTCCATAACACACGTCTATACGTTTATGAAAGCATTTATTTCGCTCGGCCTTCCACAATAGTAATTAACCTGCCTGCCTGTCTCCCCCAAATGACAGATTCCCGAGGGACAGAGTTCATCACAATGTGGCGGTGGGGACCTGGCTGAGGAGGGAGTAGTTAGGGGACCCCTGAGAGTGCTCCGCCCACGAGGTGACTGGGGTTCTCTCGGGACTGAACTGGGAGCCGGACCTGCGGGAACAGGTGCCCGTCTCTGGGTTGACCGTGGGATGCCGTGGGCGGGCCAGGCTCCCTCTTCCTGCTTCAGGCTGTGGGGTCGGCATAAGGCGGAGCGGGGCGGCTGGCTATCTGGTGGCCTGTGTTCCGGGTCCAGGTGAGGCCCAGGTGGTCACACAGCCGGGGAGGACACGGGCAGGGCTGCCCCTGACCAGCCCCCGAAGGGACCTGGGAACTCCGCCCCCCCCGCAGGCCACGCCCACCTCGTTGTGACTGTGCCCTGGGGCATCTGTAACTCCCACTCCCAAGTGCTCCTGGGCCGGGCCTGTCCGCAGCAGTGGGGACCGGGAGGGAACAGGCCAGAGCCGCCTGGACATGGAGGAAGGTCTTGGCGTGTGCGGGACCGAGCGCCCAGCCCGGCTTCCTCCCTGCCAAGCACAGCGGTGCTCCTGCGGGCGAGCGGGGCGCAGAACCCGGCCGTGGGCGCCGTCCCGGGCAGCGGGGGGAGCGGGGGGCGCTGCTGTGTTGCTCACGCTGCTCCTACCCCCCGCGTCCAGTCCCGGACGGCAGAGCCTGGAATTGCTGGGTGGGCCCTGCTCAGAGGCAGCTCCAGGGTGGGCCGCCTCGCCTTTCCGAGAACAGCGGGGGTCACCCAGATGTGCTGTGGGGTCCAGCTGTCCCCCCCGTCCCCCCCACAACAGGGCCCTGCGCCTCCAGCAGCAGCTCCCCTGCCGCCTGCTCTGCTCTGACTCCCAGGAGGGTCCCCCCTCAGGAGGCCACATGGAGGCCCCACGTGCACCTCCGAGGGAGGGGCTGCTCCTCGCAGGGGCCTGGCTGACGAAGACGCTGTCCCCCGCCTGCTCGGCTGCAGTGGAGGGGCCCTGGCACCTGCCAACGTCCCAGAAGGAGGGGGAGGAGGGCGAGGGCCCGGGACGCGGGGCACAGACTGTCGTCAGTGCCGAGGTCTGAGGGTGACGGCGGCTCAGGCCTCCTTGGCGGACTGGGCGCCACCGTATCAGCGGGAGCAGATAAGACACACCGGCTGCTCCCAGGGGAATGCCAGGGAGGCCACAGGGTGACGGGGCCTCGGCAAGCTGTCCAAGGGCGCCTGGCCTCCCTCTACGCGTGGCCCTGTCCCTTCCGTCCATCACAGCCCCCCTGGTGGCCCTGCCCACGAGTCTGCACCCTTCACAGCCGGCCAGGCCGCACCCGGTGTTCTCAGGGGCTCAGACAACAGGGCCTGTCCCCTCACCACCCCCCTCCACCTGGGATGGTTCTCTCTCTCCCTCTCCCTTCACTCTTTGAAATCAATACCATATATTAAAAAGATAAATAAAAATAAGAATGTGTTGTCTCCCTACGGAAACACTGCGCTAATTCAAAGGGAGCATGTTTGCATTGTTTTAGAAGAACATTTAAACCAGCACAGACTGCCACTGTTCTAAATACATTATTTATTCGGTTTAAAAATTTACAGCGTGCCCATCAATAATGCATCCGGCCGGGGAGAGCGAGTCCGCGGCAGGCCGTGCACCAAAAACCGTGCTGCCCCGCTTCCTCGCGCCCCGCGTTGCCGGCAGTGAGCTCCATCGCCGGGGGACACGTGGTGGTCGGCCCAGGACGGACACGCGCCTGCACGCCAGGCAGGGCCCGGCTCCCCGAGGCTCCCGTGTGCGTCACAGGCGGCTTGTGGCCAACCCCAAACCCTAATGACCTAGCTCCGGAGGACAGGAAGTTGCAGAACCAGCTCGAAAGGGATTCGGGTCTTTGGGTGTCTGCCTCGCCCCGAGCTCCCAGGGTCCGACCTCAGGAAGCACACCAGCCACCTTAGGAGGGTGCAGGACAGGAAATGGGCACGGACGGTGTTTCTTTCCATACAGAACATTTTAAGGTTCGTCCTAAAATGATTGTTCTTCTCTAAGAAAGCCCCAGAGCACAGGTCTTGTAAAATTCCATCATTAAAATAGTCTAAACAAGCAGGAGTCCCTGAAAACATCAGGTTAAAACAGCCCTGTCAGCCTAGCTGGTGGCTCAGTGGTCAGAGCGTCGGCCCGCAGAGGAAGGGTCTCGGGTTCGATCCAGCCAAGGGCAGGTGCCTCGGCTGCAGGCTCCGTCCCTGGCCCGTGTGCAGGAGGCAATCCCGATGAGTCTCTCTCACACTGACGATGCTTCTCTCTGTCTCCCCTTCCCTTCCACTCTCTCTAGAAGTCAATGGGTCCGTGTCCTCAGGTGAGGATTTAACAGCAACAACACAAAGCAGAACACACCCTTCCCGCCCACCAGCCGGGTGTTGGAAGCTGTGGCTGGTTTCCGGGGGAGACGCAGGTGCGGGCTGGGGCTGCCTCAGCCGCAGAGCCTGGCTGGGCCCCTGGCCAACGTTCTGGCCACGAGTCCCACGGGGCCTCGGTCTGCGTTTGGCGGGAAGAAGCAGGGAGGGATGTAAAGCCATGAGGATGGTCCTGGCTTGTGCCGTTCCCGATCCCTGGCTGCACGGCCCTGGGTCGGAGGCAGGCGCTCGTGGCTGGGTTCCTGGTGGGACACAGGGCACAGGTTTTGTCTGAAAGTGAAACTTCTCCCTTTTGCTGGGCCCGAGCTCCTCCGCTTCCCCGAGGGGGTGGGGGGCTGGTGTGGGGTCAGGACAGTCGGGTCTGACTCAGGGAGCTGGGAAGCGGCGGGTCTGGCTGGGGTCACAGAGACCTCCCCCCCGACCCCCCTGCACCGTGAGGGCTGCGGTGGGCGGGGGGGAGGTGAACCCCTCAACCCCACCACAGCAGGAAGTAAGGGCCTTGCTTCTTTTTCTTTTTTAAAAGAAAAAACCAGATATTTAAGTTTTAAAATAACATTTTATAACTTAAACAGATTAGCCAACCACTAGGCCTGAGCCCAGCTGTATCCGCAGACGCCACCCGAGGCCCCGAGCCGGGAAGGCCTTGCTCAAGGCCCTGCACCCCTGTGGGGAGGTGGGGCTGGAACCTGACCTCTTGGGGGTCGGCCGCCGCCAGTCCCACGTGCTGACACCCGCACGCGGGAGCAGTTGTTTGGGCAGCATTGTGCTGACGTCTCCTGGTCTTCGAGATTTAAACAGAAAAAATGTGAGTACAGGCCTTTTCCGTTGAACACACACTCACATGGCGCGGAAGGTGTGTATGTGCATGTATGTCCGCGTGGCCACACGGAAGGGAATGGAGATCTGAAACCCCAGCCCTCGGCCCCTCTTATCTGGGAGGCCGCCAGCGCCCTGGGCATTCCTTCCAGCTGCTGTCAAGATGGAGATGGAGATGACAGAGATGACGGGAAGACCTGGGGCTGAGGCTTAGAGGAGAGATAAGGTCCCTGCACAGCCTCCGATAAGGAGGGCGTGGAAGCGCGAGGAATGCCTGGAATTCACTTTCAGCTCTGAGCCCGCCTGCAGGCCCGCTTGGGGGGAGGCAGCCTGGGTGACCCGACCCGGAGCCCTGCCTCTCCATGGGAGATAAGTCCTTCCTGGCCTCCCTCGGCCTCTTCCGTTTCTAAACTAGAAGCCTGGAGTGTTCCCTCTCTAACCTCTGGGGTCCCAGAGGCCGGTCTCCAACCCCAGCCGGGCAGCCTGCCGTGGGACCCGGGGCAGGCCATGCAGCATTTCCTCGCTGTTCCTTTAAGTCTTTATTGTTGAAAGTACTGCACACGTCCCCTTCCCCCCGTGGACCCCCTCCC